CTAGCTCTCTAGGGGAGCTCTTTGTGGACTTTGGTCAAGGCTTAAATCTGTCAAGAGGACAAGGGCTGTCGCCTCATGTAAGATTGCCACTCTCTGCCTCCCTGTGCCTTTCCCAAGTTCCCTGTTCACAAGCAGAGGCACCACAATCCTTTCTGGCTGCCTCTCTGACCTCAGTTTCTGCACAGTTGAGCCAGATGCTCTGAGGCAGTTCAGTTGGACAAACACCCTAAACCTGGGCTGGGACCTAGCTTCTGGGGCTCGAGGCCGCTCTGTCTAAGCGCACCTGTGCCTGAGAGGCAGAGGCACCTGTCCCAGCTCACATGAGCAGCTAGCAGCAGATGAGCCTCATGCACACCTCTGGAGCGGAGCGTGACAATGGGCTCACAAGGACCTGCACCCAAGTTCTGTCCTTCTGTACTCTCAGGTGCCTCAGGCTTCACCAGGAGCTCAAGGTCAGAGTGCTCTGGTGCTAGCTGATTGGGAGCTCTGGAAGTAAAGTGGTGGATTCCCAGTGGACCTGGCAGCTGTGCATCCCACATACAAAGAAGTAGCTTAGGGAACTCCTATGGTACACCCAAGGAATGGGAGCCTACAGCCTTAGGTGATACTCTCTCCTAGACTGAAACTACCCTTTGGCCTTGGCCCCGTACCAGCCCTGACCCCTGATCCAGGGCCACAGACTGTGCTCCATGTCCTGAGAGGATTATCTGCTTTGCTCAGTAACACTTGCTGACTTCCAGTGAGAAAGGTGGCCTCTCAAGGTAGAGACGAGGGAGGGGGCCTGGGGACCCAACGGCAAGGAATGGGGCTGGGTGGGTGTGTGCTTCGCCTGTGTGCTCGTCACAGGCACAGCCCATAGCTTTAGAGCCTGTTTCTGAGCAGATTCTGCAAACTTCCTGCAGGTCTGGTTTTGGCCAAGTTGTGGTTGCAGTATGATATCTAACAATATTCCAGAATAAACGGATCTTTATCTGTCCTGTTTCCTTAAAGAAGCTCATGGCCTAAGAATTTTGGGTTGTAAGATTGTTTTGAATTGTAGGAATTTAGGCTGTAGGGTAATCCGAGGCACCCCCCATAAACTGTTCAAATGATTAAACAGTTAGAATTGGGGGTCATAATTTGGAAGCCCCATCTGGCAACACTTTAGAACCTGCATGCCTGGTGGGTTTGCCCCAGCAGGACACAGTGCTCAGAAAGCAGAAGGATGTAAACAGCCAGGGAGTGGGCCAGGGGGCCATCGCACCCCCAAGGCATTGGGAGGGGCTCTGTAGGGCAGGTAAAGGGCTCCTTTTGGAGCTGAGACAACTCCTTGCCGGTCCAGATAGGGCCTCTGTGGACATGCCCCCCTTCCCAAGTCCCACACCTGGCCCAGTCCTCCGTGAGTAGCCAGAAACCTGGTTCTCAGATTCATTTAGAAGGGCTAACGTTTCTGTGGCACCATACTGGGCCTGGGGGTGTGGGGTTTGTTGATTAGAGTTAAAAGAACAAAGGAAGAAAGGAGATAGGGCTTTGAGCCCCAACAGATCCAGTAATGGTACTTGGAACTGCTGGGAAAGGACCTGAGTCCATTTCTGCAGGACAAGGGAGAAAAGGGGCATGATGAGCGGCACAGGCGCTGACGGAGCCCTTCCCCTCTCCCACTGTCATGGAGATGCAGAAACGGAAGGATCAGGTGGGTTCTGCCTAGTCCATCCAGGGCCAGAAGCTCTTCCTGAAAGACCTCCAGGCCTCCAGTTCAGAACCCCTGTGATGGAGTTCTCTCCCCCCAAACTCATGCGGCCCCAGTAAGGCTGGTATTTATCATGACTCTCACTCTCCCACTTTCCACTTCGAGCTTTATTGAAGCAGCCATCACTAATGTGTCCCTTACAAAAGTGTCCTTGGGCAAACTCCCCACTCCCCACCCATACTGTACACTACCCCATCAGCCCAAGACCAGCAAACACCCACCCCACCCCAGCCCGTTTCTTAAACCTGGGAAAGGACAGAGTCCCAAGGTCTGCCCTGGATCTTCTGACAGGATGTCCACCCTTCTATGGACATGATAACCCTCCTTAAGGCACTCTTGAACGTGAAGAAATTACTTTCTTCAGTAGCACAGTTCTGGAACTCCATGGTACAATTCTTGAATGAGTCTGCTGGCTAAATAAGAAACGTGTGTAAGTCATCATCTTAGCAGGAAAAGAAAATGAATAAAATGAAAGCGAACATTTGATATCCCAACCACAAGAGCCTTATGAGGCCCTGTTTCCAGGAGGTAGCTCAGGGAGTCCTCTCCACCTGCCAGCAAGGTAGTAGGGCTGGTTCCGAGGACCCCAATCTCCATGGGGAGGGATCCAGCAGCATACAGGCAGGTCCTGGACTGTCCAGGAAAGGGCAAGAGGACAAGCAGGAGATGGGAGTGGTACACAAAGGACCATGCAAGCAGTTGGCAAAGAGAACAACTCAGTCATTTTCTAAGATGCCCCCCAAACTACAGCTCACTCCCCCAGCATGGGTTCCCCATGTGGCTCCTCAGCCCAGAAGAGACCCAAGGGTGGGGCAAACTAGAGCAAGCTCTGACTGGCTGCCTAGCGCACTAGAGCCCGGACCAAGGTGCCCTTCCCTCTCCCTAGGGAAAGTCCATGACCAGCCTGCTCTGGCTTATCTCAGGTCTGCCTGCCCTCTGCTGACCCCAGAGGGGGACAGAGGCTTGGCCAGAAATGCAAATACAAACCTCCCGAACCACCCCTTGAATTTATACTTCCTGCAGTCAGCTTTTCACTCCTTACCCTCCACCCACTGTTGGACAGGGGACTTATTTGGCATCTGAGATGGTCCCAAACAGTAACGATCCATGTGCCCAAGAGCAGCACCTGAAGCCTCGAGTGCCAGGTGACACTCATAAGAACCCCTTTGCCCCACTGGGTTGCTGGCTGTGGTAGAGGGAAACTAAGCCCAAACTTCCCTTAATAGTAAAGAGTCACTTACTTCCAACTTTGGGCAGATTTTGGGGAGCTCCATCATGTTTTCATAAACTTTTGTTATGTACTCGTCAGCTTTGTTACGCCTTGTGAGGTTCTCCAGGACACAGGTGAAGACCTCTGTAAACTCTGCATAGCAGAGCTCCTGAAAGTAGTGGGAGTGCACTTCGGGGAACAGCCGAGGACCACCTCACCCCTCCCTGGCCATCCTGGCTGATGAGCCCTGCTGCTAAGCTTGGGCACAGCCCTGCCCCGCCCCCAGGAGACCCATGGAAGCAGTCGGCACCTGCCTCCCTTCCCGGCCCTCAGCTCTGCTGGGATGCTGCAGTGGGAAGGGGCTGACAGAGCCCAGGACCTGGCTGCTAGTTCATCTGTCGGCTGAGCTGAGGGACCTGTCCTCATATTTTCAAAGTCCCCGGCATTGCTTGTTCTTAGCTCTACCCTGCGTGCTGAGTGAGACCATCTCTTCCAATATGGCCCCCATGGTCCAAAGTTGGTCTGCTTACCTCACTGGTGTTCTGTGGACTTCTGAAGTGACCCTAGAAGCAAGAGGAGTTGGTCAGAAGCACAAAGGCCACCAGGACAATGTTTGGAGAAGACCTGGCTTACCGTGTATGTCTTCTTCTCCTTATCAAGATCCTGCTGAATCTCATCACAGATCATCTTGAAATCTTTCTCAAGAGTCACAGTGACTGCCTTCATCAGTGCCAAGTGGATTTCTGACCCCCAAAGCACGCAGACCAGGAGCACGTACCGGTGCATGGTACGTTTCAGAGGCGGCTCCAGCCAACTTGAGCATGGGCTTGGCAGCATTTCTGTGGGAAGAGGTACCTATATATGCGAGTCTAAGGAAATGCAAGCCTCTTATCAGTCATCGATGGCTTCTGAGGAAGACAGGACCTTATCGCCGGGCAAGATGTGCTGCTCGTGCATTTTCAGTGACCACAATGCACTGCAGGGATCCTTGCCTTCGCTGAAATTCAGCCTTGCCCTAAGACCGCTTATTAGGAGTCCACATGTGGGACCTTTCTGCCTAAGTGTGGCCAAGGTCTCTGGCCAGGACTGGTGCCCTGTGCAGTGCAGGGTGGAGCAGGGAGAGCAAGCCATATGGTGGGCACACAGCTGCCGGGCACCGGCAGGCCCCAACGCCGCAGGAAACGGCTGTGCCAGACCCCACCTGCAGGCAAGGCTGGCCTTGGGCTTGCCCAAGCCTTGGGGACGTACTCCCTTCCTGCCCCTCCTCAGGAAGGACACGGAGGCCAAGGTCTGGGGAAGAGGTCTTCTGCCTGGCTGCCAAAGCAAGGCGGTTGTTTTGCCCTGAGCTGGAAGCTCGCAGACTTGAGGAGACTGCACCTGTTAGATCTAAAACTCCACGTAAAAATAAAAAGCAGTTCAGAAAAATGCTACACTAGACTTGTGTTCCGACATACTGTGAGTTCGCATTCTGATTCTCAAAGATTAAGATCACATGTTTGGGGGAAAGTTGGGTAAATACGCTGAGTTCTGACCCCTGTGGTTTGGTTTCTTTTTCTCTGAAAATTTGTTTCTTTGCTGATTTACCTTTAGAGTGGTTGAGTGTGAGAGCCAAGCATGGGGCACAAGCCTCTGTAGACAGTGACCACCCAACCCTCAGAGGTCCCCGGGCCTCCCCCAGGAAGACCACCCTCCTCCTCTGAGTTAGATCCCTGAGATGGCCCTTCTCTGAGTGGGAGCCCCCAGGCACTCCAGAAGAAGACCCTGGTGTGTGGAAGGCCACACCCATGCTCAGCCCCAACCTCCAGGAGAACCTCAGCTCCCTCCCCACCCCACTGTGCCCCTCCTGAAGATAAACTGGAAAAGGACACAGAATAAAAATCAGACTTTGAATAATTTATTATAGCAAAACATCTTGAATAAATACAGACTATGAGCTTAAATAAATAAATAAATAAATATCTTAGAAATATAAATATATAAATAAATACCATGGATTGAGAGTATAAAAATCCCCTGCCACGCCCCTATCAGGGCCCTGCCACCCCCACCGCGGCCGTGGCCCGCCCCTTTGGTCCCTCGAGGGAAGGTCTTGAGTTTCTGCCTCTTTCCAGGTGAGGCTGCGGCATGCTCATGGTGAACTCCAGGGCTGGCCTGGCCGCCTCACTCCTCCATTGGCTCCCAGCAGTTCAAAGTGATGTCAAACAAAAAGCCCTTGAGGATCTCTTTGAATCTTTTGAAGGTGACCATCTGGGTCATACAGGAAGTTTCCTTAAGAAAAAATGAAAAATAAGAAACCCTTGAGTCCAGGTGAGTGGGTAGCGAGGGGAGGCCCTGTGCATTTCCGCACGGCCTCTGAGCACTTGGCCCTAGAAGGCCCATTCCTGGGGGCCTGGGGAGGCTTGGTCAGGTGACCCTGGGCCACCCCTGTGCTGTCCGGCTGGGGCCGGTGCTCTGACAGTGTGCGATCCTGAGCTGCTGCTAGCCTTCTGCTGCCTCCTTGGTCCCAGGCCAGCGCCCAGAGGTCGGGCAGGGGCTGCCCCCAACACTCAGACTTCACTCCCTTCCTGCAGGAAGAAGGGTGTTTGGCGCCTTTGTCCCTGCTGGCCAGTTCCTTGCTCCTCTGCAGTCCCAGTGCCCCACAGGAAAGTTCTGCCTGGAGTAGCATGTGGCAGCACGTCCTGGGGCCCTGGGGCAGTCCCCTGAGTGTCTCTGGGTGTACCTGACCTCTGACCTCACTACTGCCAAGGACATGGGGTGAGCAGCTGCCGCTAGGGGTGTGTGGGCCTCCAGCACCCTGGCTTTGACGCCTGGGGGGAGGGTGCCAGGGTCTCCTCAGGACACATCTGTAGACACAGAAACCTTTTCCGGGCCTGGACAGCCATGGCCAGCGCCTCTCCCCACCCGTCCCCACCCTCTTGGACGAGGGCACTCACTGGGGTTGGCGGGCAGTGCTGCTTGTAGTATCTGGCCAACATGGTCAAGGAGCCCTTGAGCCTGGCCACGCTGCCACGCAGGCCCTTCTCGAACAGCTTCAGGCGGGTCTGCAGGCAAACCGGCTCCTGCGGAACAGCCCGTTTCTTGTGAGCAGAGGCCAAGCGGCGGCGGTAGCCACCTTCCCAGCCACGCTTTCCTGTGCCACCCCTGCCCTCAGGACTACGGCCTCAGAGCGGCACAGAATGATCTCTGGCCAGCCCCAGGCTGGGTCCAATCACACAGTGCAGATACACTTCTGTCCTCCCTTCTGGGCTGGTTCGGGCCATCCTCGGCCAGCACAGCCTCTATCCTGGAGCCCACTGTGCCCCAGGAGGGTCCCAGCCATTCAAGAAGAGAGCTGGGCAGGGCACTGCCCTGGACTCGTCAAGCAAGTGGATTCTTACTCCATGTCTCCACGGGGCTTGGTCTAGTGTACAGTGAGAGTGCTCAGCCCACAGCCATATCATGAAGAGCCGTTTTCCACCATCTCCTGGTCATCCTTAGCCTTTGAATGCCAGGCCCACCTCTGGCTGCTCAGCTCATAGAAGAGCCCATGTGACCACCACACAAGCAAGGCAAGTGGCACCTAGATGCCACCCCTTCCTTGTGGCAGCCGGCTGACTGGCAAGTAGACAGCTCTATGTGGTCCATCTAAAGTCCAGGCCCTCGGGACGCAGGCCCCTTGGGAGCTGTATCAAAGAGAGGCATCTTACCTGGAACGTAAACTCGTCATAGACAACTTCTACGGATTCATTCTGTGTAAAAGAAGAGTCACATTAGCAAGGTGTCAGGCAGGGCAGAGCAGGGCCAGCAGGGTGACCCCAGGGCTGTCCACCCTCCGCCATACCATCACAGCAGCTGGGTCACTGCTGTGGTTCAGGAGGCTCATGGCTTCCTTGATGGTGGCATCCATGTGCTTCCAGGGCCTGGTGACAGGGCTGAGCAGGTCAGCGGGTGCACAGATGCTAGAAACCACAGTGCCAAGGAGAAGCAGGTTCTGCAGCCACATCCTCCTGAGGACTTTAGCCTTTCTCTCTGAGTACTGGGCTTGCTGGCGAAAGGGCCCTTATATACACAGTTAGAGGAAATGATTAATGGTGACCACAAAAGCCAGGGAGGTGGGGGAACTACCTGAACTGTGGAATCTCCTGGCCCTTATCAGCTGTGCACGGGGGACGACGAGCCTTTTCCCCAGGTGGTCAGGCTCAGGGGTTTTCATCAACGAGCCCTTCCAAGAACCAACAGCCCACCTGGCCACCTCCTTGAGGGCTCTCCAGGCCGCCTGGGCAGGTTTGCCTGGCTCTGGGCTGCCTCTCCTTTGGAGGGGCCTCTGGGCACAACTTGGACTTCCTGGCCTGGAGTGGCCAGGGTGGGGCTCCGGAGACACTAGGTGGGGCTCCTGCTTCCTGCTCCCCATTCTGCCTGCTGTCCCAGGAGGTCTTTGGGCAGGTTGTGCCCACCCTGGTGGCCATTTCAGGCCCGCCCTCCCACTCCTCTTCCTGCCCTTGTCTGGCTTCTGTAAAACTTGAGTGTGAGCAGAGCTGCTGCGGGGCTGTCACCCTGTTCTCTTACAGTCCTGCCAAATGACACAGTCCTGTAGTGACTCACATGGGCTCCTTCCAAGGGGCCAGAGCAGCCAGTGAGCTCAGCCCCGCCGGGGAGTGACCCCCGTGAGCGGAGGGCATGACAACCATGTGCACATCCAGCCGCAAGACTGCAGTGTGTCCCTTCATGACAGCAGCTCTTCTGACAGCAGCGCTTGTGGCTTACATGGCCGTGTTCAAGCAGCAGAAAGCCAGCTCCCACCAAGCTCGACTGCTGGTTGTGACGCCACCTGGCCGAGGGACTCTTCCTCTGAACTTCATGAGCCACACTGCCCTCTGTAGGGCGGCCTGTCCTCTGAGTGGACACACTGCCACCCAAGGCAGAGGAACTGTGGGGGCTGGCTGCATCCATCCCAGCCCAGGGCCCTGTGGCCTCCCTGGCCGGCTCTTCCAGGCTTAGTGTCCTACGTGGTCCCAGCTCCACTCAGTGTGCAGTTTCTGGGTGCTCTCTGTGGAAGCAGGAACTATTCCAGAGCAACTACAGGTACTTGAGAGGCTGACAAGTGTTTGGTTTTCACAATGGGTTCTGGAGAAGACAGCGTGAGTTTGCGTTTGCACAAGGGATCTGGCTCGAGCGGTCCCGTGCCAGAACTTTGGTGGCCACGAGGCTGTGGGGCCATGCATGTCCATTTCTGTGGGTACAGGTGTTGGTGTGAGGGGATGATGTACCCACGGTACAGCTTGAGGGGAGGATGTTTAACTCCAAGGAGCCTCCGTGGGAGCCCAGATTCCTATCAGTTGCTTTGGGAGAGGCTGCTGGGGCCTGGAGATGCCCCTCTGGTAGGGAAGAAGCCGGCTTTCCTGATGAGGTGAGCCACAAGTAAGGACACTGCTGGGGCCTCAGACAGCAGGTGGAATTCATGGCCTGAGAACTGTGGTCTGTCATGTGTGGCCCCAGGAAACGTCACCACAAGGTGGGGCTTTGCTGCCTTTTCTTGGGAAAGCCAGGTGTTAGTCCTTCAGACTCCCTGGGGCTCCCTGCAGGGTGTGGGGCCACATGAGACCAGCCCAGCTTGCCTGAGCCTAGGGGACACACATAGGTGGCCAGGATGGGCCTGGGAGAGTGACCTTTCCTCATCCTTTCTGCAGGTCCTTTGTTCCACTCCTCGTAAGGAGCTCTCAGGGGACATGAAAGAGGGCAACAACCTTAGCTACAGAAACCACCTGGAGTGGAGGTCTGTGTCAGACAGGCATGGAGACTGGATGTGGTGAGGAAAGCCACAAGCAGTGGCCAAGCTGGCAACCAGGGAGGCCAAGGACTTGTGTGGGCCCCTCCGGGATGGAAGGTCACTTTGCTCTTGGAAACAAATCATTGTGGCTCTGATAGTGGACAAGCCTTTCCAGTCTGTGCCAGCCCCTGTGCTGGCAGGAGGTGGAGGGGACTCTCCCTCTGGCATCCACAGCTGGCTCTTGAGTTTCTCAGTCTGTGTGGGCAATGGCTGCCGTGGCCCCCTCCGTGGTGTGGTCCAGCCTGGGTGAGGGATGTTCACATGCAGAGAGCCCAAGGAATTACCTTCCAAGCTTTGGTAGCCAAGGGAGCTGGGGGTGTTTCTGAGACATGCGGCCTGCCTGCAGTGTGAAAAAGCAAGGAGGAGTAAGTCAGGTGGGCTTGCTGGGATGGGGGTGGGTGGAGTGGTGGGCCACAGAGAGGCCTGGGGTCTTGGAGGCCAGGTGGCAGAGTACTAGAGCCCTAAATGAAAGGGCTCATTTAGGTAGTGGATTTACTCATTCACCTTATTTATTTATGTATGCAGAACTGGGGATTGAACACAGGGTCTTCACATTGAGCTACATCCCCGCCCTACCTGTACTTTTTTTTTTTTTAATCTTGAGTCAGGGTCTCACTAAGTCCCTAAATTGCCTGGACTGAGCTTGAAATCATGATCCTCCTTCCTCAGCCTCCCAGAGCGCTGGGATTACAGACGTGCACCATCCCACTTCGCTTCATTCATTTCTTGAGCACCTTCATTCATTTCAGGCTCTCAGGGGGGAAGGCAGACACTAGGATGCCGGCAGGGACTCTGCTCCACACTGATGGGGAAGCAAGGTTAATCTCCTCGGCCATCTTCCTAAAGTGTACTTCTGAACGTATGTAGGAGGATCTTGTGCAGGTTACAAGGTTTGGGCCCAGGGGATCAAGGGGCAGGTCTGTCGAGTTTTGGGGTCCACAAGATTTGGCTCTGGGGGCCATGTGTCAGGAGACAGAACTGGAAGTGGTCTGAGGTTCCCTGCTGGTTGAGGTCACAAGGATTTCTCAGGAAGGGCTGAGGGCCAGACCGCCAGGGCCTAGGGGCATGCTCGCTGAGCCCAGCAAGCACAGGCCCGCAGCCAGGGGCTCTGGGGAGGGGCAGGAAGCAGGGGCCACCAGCGAGATCCAGGTCAGCAGCTTGGCCTTCCGGTGCCAACGGCAGCATGTGCAGGACAGAAACCCAAGGGTTTGCCTGCGAGGTTTGTGGCCAGACACACATCTTCTGGAAAGATGACATCAGGGCTGAGGCCACGACACAGGCAGGCATTCCTAGATTGCATACACGGGAAGAAGTGACAAGAGATCGCAGTGCTGACTCAGGTGTCCCAGGGGGACTGTGGCAGGCAGGGGGCAGGGCCCAAGTGGGGGTGTGACCCACTTCCGGCCCCTGCTCATGGGGTCAGGGAAATCCTCTAGGAGGAAAGCTCTGTGAGTGGCCTAGCACAGGCTCTAGAGGAGCCGGGGGCTTGTGGCCACGCTGGGGTTATCATCAAAAGAGGAAGCGTTCGCAGGTGAAAGAAACAGGCCCGGACCCTCTACTTCCCAGGAGCTGTGTGCGGGCATCGCGATGATTTGATCCTTCCTCACGCCTGCCTGCCCTTGGGGAAGACGTCGTTCTTACAGGGCCTGCAACCCAGGTCATCAGCGAGGCCCTTGTCCTCACAATAGATGACCCCGCAGGTCCCGGGTTGGATTTGAAGCTGCATCCGCTCACTCTCCTGATGGTTTACACTGCCTTGGCCTCAACATTAGGAAATTCTGGTCACTGGGCTGGCCCAGCAGGGGTGGTCCAAGCATGTGCGTCCCCTTGGGCAGCCGCACCTCAAAGGAGAGTCCTGCTGGATATTAGCAGGAAGGCTGGAGTGGCCTGTGACTACCCAGGGACTTCTGGGGCTGACGACAGGGTTTCCCCCAACATATTTGGCACCCAGAGGCCTTTATGACCCAGTCTTGGGCTCTTGTCCCTCTTTGGCCACCACTGGTTCTTGCATCGCCCAGGAAAAGTCCCTCTTCTCCAAGCTTACCTGCACAGTGGGTAAATTAGCGCCAGCACAGCGGAAGCAGCTGCTCATGCCAGGAATCCACGGGAGACTTCTCCCAGGAAGAGGCGATGCCCTGCCGTCTCCTCCCATTCTGGGAGCTTTCTGAAGCCCTAAGTAGGACAGGGCCCAGCCTTTCTGGAATTTTCTAGAACAGCAGTCACATGCCCGCCCCTGCCTCCAGAGGGTAACTATCTCTTTGCTCAGACATATGGAGAGGTGGAGAGCCCAGCCGCCACCCATAGCAGAGGCTTGGGGTTGTGCGCCACTCTGAGGAGTCCCTGGCGTAGCCCAGCACCGGCTCCCACATGTTCTACTCTGAGAAAAATGCTGTTACCCTTCCTGGCAGCACCAGGCTGAGATCTCCTGCACCCCCTGTCTTGGTCCCCAAAGGAATAGCTCGGAAAGACCCAGGTGCCCTGGCCAAAGTCCTTTTTGGCCGTGTTCCCTGGGCATCCCAGGGCCCCAGCACTGATGGGGGACCTGAGGGTTAAGCCAACTTTCCAGAAGCATCCTGGAGGCTCTTAGGCTGGCTCAGGCACAGGGCCAGGTGTGGCCAGAGGAGCACAGGGAATGTGCCGCTGCAAGAGCTGGCTAGGAAGTGAGAGCAAGGGGCGCCGAGGAAGGGCCTGGCCAGGGCTGTGGGCATCAGGGCCCGGGCAGACGAGCGAGGTGCCTGTGCTCAGGGTCTGGCCAGACCAGGGTGACCGCTGCTGCAGTGGAGGGGACTCTGCCAGGCCGGTCAGGCCATGGTCAGTTTGAGAGGCTGGGGCCTCCATTGGCAGTGGCCACGCAGGTCCAGAGGTCCCAAGCCAAGGTAGCGGGAAATCACTGGTGAAAGGGTGGTTTTGGGTGCAGGAGGAGTGTGCACCCAAACTACCTCCTTCAAAATTCACATTCATCTGCACCCTCAAGCTACGCCCCAACGAGGGCTGCAGGAGACCACGCAGCCTCCTGGGGCAGCCGCTTCAGGGGGCCACGCAGCCTCCTGGGGCAGCCACTTCAGGGGCTGGAGGCTTGAGGGGCTCTGGGGAGATGCCCTGAGGTGTGTGGTGTGGGGGCTTTCCAGGCTGTGCTGGAGTGGCTGCCAGTGCTTGCCATTTTGGGTTCCTTCAGG